TTTTTTTATTTTTAATTTCAATTAAATAGAACTCATATATTATGATCAAATTTTGGTATCGACAATTAGAAATATCCCAGTGAGATATTTAATAGGTATTTATGGGATTTTTCATATCTAGTTTCAATTAAATGGAACTCATATATTATGAGCAAATTTTGGTATCGATAATTAGGAATATCCGAGTGAGATGTTTAATAGATATTTATGAGATTTTCCATTTCTAGTTTCAATTAAATGGAACTCATATATTATGAGTAAATTTTGGTACCGAAAATTAGGAATATCCGAGTGAGATGTTTAATAGATATTTATGGGATTTTCTATTTCTAGTTTTAATTAAATGGAACTCATATATTATGAGATACCGACAATTAGGAATATCTGAGTGAGATGTTTAATAGGTATTTATGGGATTTTTTTATTTCTAATTTTAATTAAATAGAACTCATATATTATGACCAAATTTTAGTATCGACAATTAGGAATATCCAAGTGAGATGTTTAATAGGTATTTATGAGATTTTTTATATCTAGTTTCCATTAAATAGAACTCATACATTATGAGTAAATTTTGGTACCGACAATTAGGAATATCCGAGTGAGATGTTTAATAGATATTTATGAGATTTTTTATTTCTAGTTTCAATTAAATAGAACTCAAATATTATGAGATTTTGGTATCGAAAATTACAAATATCCGAGTGAGGTGTTTAATAGATATTTATGGGATTTTTCATTTCTAATTTTAATTAAATAAAACTCATATATTATGAACAAATTTTGGTACCGACAATTAGAAATATTCGATGTTTAATAGGTATTTATGAGATTTTTCATATCTAGTTTCAATTAAATAGAACTCATATACAGCGGAATCCTACTAACAAATTACCCTAACATAATTATAACCTATGCCGTTTGACATAGTTAGCGTAACATTATTTATTGCATATATTTATAGGGTTGACAAAGTTGACCAACTGGATTGCACTCGATCATTTAAGTATTGATTTAATCGTATACTCTTTACTATAAACTTGACATGATGTAAATGCTTACTTAACCTATCAAATTAACAATAAAACAACAACAACAAAAATTAACAATCAAACCCAATATTTCATCCAACTCTTTTCATTGTGTATAATATAAAATTAATCCACAGTCGAACTCTCTTTTTAATATGCACACTTTCTACATAATTCATTTTGCTCATACATTAACTACTACAAGATGATAATTCCCGGAGTCACGATATGAAGAGTTTAAATCCTGTAAGCTTCAATTAGGAAGAAGTTTTTTTTTTAAAATATTGATTTAAATCCCTGATCCATATTTATATATAGAGCAAACTATCATAAACTCTTTGAAAAACTCCGTATTTGTGGCAGAAAAGGATCCCCACAGATACATAGTGAACTGATAACTTATTACCGTGGTTGCCGAGCGAGCGCAAGATCAAAAGCAAGGCTTGCATTCTGCTTAAGCCTGCAAATTTTAGCCGATCTCGTGCAAAAAAGACCATGTTCATTGGCTTTTTATTCATCCTTCTTTTTGGACTCTCGCACTCCAAATATTGTTGACCCAATCCGAACATTTGTGCTGCCCATTTCAATCTGCAGAGATCCATAAACACATGTCATGCTCAGATAACGTAGTATGAGAATGGTCTAAACTCATATATGATCCGACTTTTTGTAATGTACATGAGGCGGCTCAGTTTTGTTCCACAGGAAATTTCATATCAAAATGAATTAGTTATAGGTTCTCTAGCACAACCAACACTGTGTCCAAATTGCTAGTCTAAACGTGTAGGATATACTTTCAAACTTGTAATCACTTACAGCTTGCTCGAAGTCAGCAGACATCCCCATGGACAGCTCACACTGCTCCTCTGGTATTTCGAGCTCCTTACACACCTCAGCCCTGCAATTTGATAGTGTCTGATCTCAGACATGTAACCAAGCGTCAGATGAACAGTGTGGATAAATTCCGGAATAGCAAGCTAAATTGAGAACAGTACCTTAAAGTTTTCTGGAGTAGACGAATAGTCCAACATGCCAATAGTCATTAGACCAGAGAATATGAGATTTGGGCACCCAAGTTTCACGTGCCTCACGAGATTGACACAGCCTGATGGATCAACACCAAATTTTGCTGCCAAATAATGGAAGGTCTTTCAGTGAATAGATTACTAAACCACCATTTGAGTACAAAAGTCAGAAATAGAAGCAAAGAACAATCTTATTTGCCCATTTAATTGTCAAGGGTCCTGATATCATGAATTTTCTAAAAGTTTTGAACAATCAAGTTGGAGGTCCTTTGCATCATGATCCTCTACGTCGTCTGAACAACCAAATTGGATGCCCTTCACCCAGTCAGACACAACCTTAAAAATCTACATCAAAAAACTTCCATGAGGCTTCCAACATCTTGACATGTTCTGACATGCTAAAAAAGATGGAAAAATCAACCTTAGTTATTGTTCACTATGTTCAAGATAACTATTTCCTTTGGTGAGCAATAATGGATAACCAGAAACACAGAATCTTGCTTGAAGCTAAGATTGAAGATACTCCTGTGATGGAGATTGTTATTTGGGTGACCCATCACAGCTAATAAATAAATTGAATGTCAAAGGAACACTATAGCAATTGGATATCGTCTGTTGTCAAATGATTAAGAGCTCCTATTTGAGTCAAAGAGGTCTGAAGATGATAGTAGAGTGTATATTATGAAGAAAACAAGGGTTAAAAAAGTCAATATAGTCAACCAAGAAACTTATAATATAAATAACCATAGAAAGTTACAGAATTTGTACTGGTTGCAGTGTTATCGTCGAAGTTAGCATATTTACTGCTTACATTCTTCTCCACTAGTATTCACTTGCACCAACACCTTCAGAGGCTTCCTTCCCAAGCTAGCAACCACACGATCAACATGATTAGCAATCTGCCGTTCAGATGGAAAGACACAATATTACATATAGCTAAAGATGATAGAGCTTTAACTTTATTGCTAAATTGCTGATAGTTCTGTTGGCAGAGATATAATATGGTGGTTGTGGGAAACATAAGAATGATTGAGACAAAATATTTGCTATAGGGTTCAAAGTTGAAGATAAATAGGTTTAAATCTCAGTCAGGTATCACTATTGATTGTCATACAGTAAGTTAAATATAAGTTCTCCCCTAAAACCCCCACCAATACAAGGCACAACACATTCGTATAAGCTACCATGAATCATATATCAAAACACATGTAAAAGACTAGAAACAATGCATAATGTTAGCACATCATACATGATACATGATAAATGATATATGCATTATGAACCATACATCACAGATATATTAGTCAACTTACAAATACACTACTTATTTATGATACAAGTGATATCCTATTAGTAACATGGTTACTACTACTAAAGGAATGACTGTTGTCAAGGGAGGTGGGTTCATGTCTGCAACATAACATGGTTGAATATTAATAACCACTGTTGTTGGTAAACATGCTACTGTTCAACTCCTTAGCATCATTCCAGACTTCACAGAGACCGCAATCAGATGGAGAAGAGATTTTATCATCCTCATCAAATTATTGTTCATTTATTGTGATGAACAAACTTTCTGATTGCAAGAATGATTCAGATGCTGTCAATAATTCTGCAAGAAATATACATAGATCTAGGCATCTAGCCTTAATTGAACAACAAGACATGATTGAAACGAGAAATTTTAGCCTTAATCTAAGCACACAAAAAGAAAATATTCTTAAACAAAAAGAAGTAATAAATGTGGTAACAAGATTCAGATTTGCCTTAGTTTGGAGAAAACCAACCTTCCTCTCAGGAAAGTTGTCCTGCAGCAAGAGAGAAAAGCTCTAAGCTCATGCTGTTTGAGAAATCTGATGAAAAAAGAAGTAATTTGGAGAAAAATGAAGAAAGAGAGGAAAGAAGCTATTGCTAGAGAAGAAGGCGAAAGCAGAAGGGGAGGAAAAAGTAGGAAAAGGGTGGAGAGGATACCGGCACGGCAATAGGTAAACCATTTGGTAGAACTCGGCATGATAACAGTCCTAAAACGTTATTCCCAACATAAAACCAAACTGAGAAAAAAAAGGGGGAATAAAGAGGGAATAAGATGAGAAGAGAAGGAAATGACATTGAGAATACTGACACCACAATAGGTTACCATTCAGTACAGTAGTGTATGTTAACAATACTGGCAATATGAAACCTAACTGAGCAAAATTGCTTGATCTACATGCTGGGCATGTGATCAGATTTATAGTTACAAACTTAGATATGAGACATTGTGAACTAGATCAATCATTTGTCCTTTGTGTTCCCCGGGCTTGATATTGCTGCCTAATAATGTAATTTGGGATCTTGAGAATTGAGAATTGGATTTTAGTTGTGATTTTCTTCATTCAATGAAAAGTTGATTTCTGATGTAGGATGTTGGTTCTCTATGACAAAGGTAGTTGGTAGTTAAGAGTCATAGCAATTGCGGGTGGTCATTGGTAAGTGCTATGTTGAAACCTATTATTCTCTCATCTTTGTATATTATCTATGCATGATCAGTATTTGTTAGTCTATATACATTACAAAAAAACGGTTGACTTTGCTTATAATTGCCATCTTGTTGTATTCTTTGCAAACTAAAAGATAAAGAAATCAAAACATATTTGCATCGTGAAAAGACTCATTTAAATTGCATCATCAAATGATACAAGAACAGTAAGTATAAATACAACAAATCTGATCCTTTAGGCAATTCTTAAACCCATAGAAGGCACATGGCACTCAGCTTAAAGATACGGTAATCCTTGATTATTTTTAAATTTTCTGTCTAGAAACAAGGCTAAGTAATCACCGAACAATCTTAGAACTTGAATTGGCTACATAAAAAAAGAAAAATTTGCTAAATTTGACTAATGTTAGCACACTCATCAGCCACATTTAAGAATGAATCATGAAACTGAAATTACCTTTACATCATCTACACTCTCAATCATATGAAGATTTGGGACACCAGCTGCATTATGGACAATGGTTATATCAAGAATTAACACAATTGACAACAGACAGGTATAGGATTTATCAAGCACAGAGTTAGCTTAAAAGAAGGAAACATGTTTATTTTGACTAAACACAAAGTAACATAATACAGTATCATTTAGCATAAACCATATAGAAATTTCACAGATTTGCATCAAATGAATCAACAATGAGCTCACTGCATAAATGTTGGCATGTCAATCAGCTTTAATCACAAATTGGCATGACATGTGAATCCAAGAAATTAGTCCAGTCCACATTCTTCCATGCAAAATGGTCTTCCATATGGCCTATTCACAAGGAACAGAAATAACATTCTAAGATATCATCACACAGACCATTTTGCTATGCTTATCAAAAACACATTCTTGATGGGATAAAACAGTACAAAATGATATGGGTTCGTATCAGGTTGGTGCATAATTGGTATAGGTGGGGATATAGGTCAGGCACGAGACAATTATTTATGCCTTATTTTGGCCAGCCAGTCCAAGAGCCATTTAATTGCTTGGGTGGGGCTACTTACTTCATCCATATGCACCAGCCATCAGACATCATAGGAACTAATCCGATGCTCTCACGATGCAAGGTTTACAAAATATCATCACATAAGGTCAGCGTTGAGAATATATCAGACATAATTTTTAACCAAATATTGGTGCTAATAGAATTTATGCTCCCCGATGGCAATTGATGTGGTTTTAGGTTTATTTGATGGGATCACATTTCTTCAAAAATTTGATATATTGTCTATGAATCATTAGGTTAAGATGCATCACTTTTAATTGAAACATGTGTACTTAGTTGACTAATTGTCGTATACCATCTCTCCTTGAGATACTATACTCATCATACATTATCATGGTCTTAGATAATGTGTGTAATCATAAGATATATCATAGATGATCCAAATTCATTCAGAATCCTCAAAAGCAAAATGAATGTTGAAAAAAGTTATCTTATTGGTCTCACATCGATATCGCACCGTATAGGTTTAGCATGTGATATATCAAATCCGTGTTGATTTTGATAAATTCTCTTAGTTTAACTAAGAATATGCCTTTACATAGTTTAATGACAGCAAAAGATCCATATAGCCGATATTTAAATCATTACATTTTAATAACAGCAAAAGATCCATATAGCCGATATTTAAATCATTACATCTTTATTGTTGTAGTATATCATATGTGACATACCAATCCTTATTGATTAGTATATTCACGTGAAAGTTCTCTTTAGGAAGCTCCTGAACTCTTTTGTTTCTTTAGTAAAATCTTAAGTACTACTTTGTTTCTTTCTCATAGTTTGTTTTGTTAAACGAAATTGGGTTTTTATATCTATATGTTTTGGAAGGTACTACTTGGTTCTTCAAGCCTTACCATAGATGAAAGGTAAAACGTGAGACATTTTACAACAATAATTCAATCAAAGAATTTTACTATTGAACTAGTGTTTAATGCAAAACAAACAAAAACAATAAGCAAGACAAAAATATGGTGGAATCATAAAATTAAATTTTTTGACAGTAGTACATCACCTATATTTGGAAAAAAAAATTCAGTAGTCAATATGAAAAGGAAGCTAAAGTCCAACTTAATGGAATGAACCAACCAAAGACTTAACAATGGTTTCTAGAAAAATACCAAGAAGGGATTTGACTTTGTTTCTTTGCAAGTTTCCAATGAAATGCCACTCAATGTCCACAGGAAGCTGAAAAGGCATGAAACCATTGTAATTTTCATGTCTGAAAATGACTTAACAGTTAATATTTACCAACAATAAAATGAGACTTTCTTTTATGTAAGCATGTGAATTTGCCTACTCTAAAACACTAGGAATATACATTTAAAAATATCTAATCGACATAAATAAGTGCAATAAGTAATCAGGGAGCATATCAACTGTTGAATAATCTGCCATTAAGTTAACATGGAAAAGCTAATGTTATCCTTATCTCGTATCATTTGTTAGAAATGCAGAATCTGCACAGAAGTAATTATTGGTAATTGGTCTTCAACAAATAATAAGTAATTATAGAATGTGCAACACAAGTTATAAGAATGTTTCTCCTCAAGGAACCATCATGTGTGAATATAAGCAACTGCATCAAAGAATCTATTAATCAAACTGAGTGCTCATCTGGGCTGTATTGAACATGGTGTTAACTAAATCATCTTAGGTATGCAACTTTGTAGCTAGAGTTAGAATAATCATCATGAACAACTAATCATGGCTTGTATTATCTCTTTATGTGGTTCTGTGTTACCATGTGAAAGTGTACGATAGATAACTGCTGGGCTTCACCATTATGAGTAAAGTTAGTTGTGGCCTCAATCACACCATCCTAGTGATGCAACTTATACAACAAAGTTACATCACATTTTGAGATTAGAAAAATGCTGCATCAAATTCTTGACATTGTTCGGTCCATTATACTGGGACCACTACATTATTTATGCTTTCCCTTTCAACTGTGAGGTCACAAATCAAGTTTCTCTTGACCTGGCAAATACTTGTTAGATAAAGACCGACGACCAAAGGTCAAATCAGACAGATGTAATAATTCATCAAATTCTAGCATTTTCAAGCTTCCATGATCCTTGGCTGCAAAGAATGGTGTTTTGCTCATAGGAAATCTTCAGACATTCTATGATCAAACAATGTCACTACAGAATTTTCTGCACATCCACTAACTTCTCTTGCTCTTTCCCTACCTCAATGGAATTCCATGAGCTACAAATTTAAGTTCTCTTCCTTGTTCCAGACGGTTTAGGTATTCAACCAACCATGCATAGAATAATTAAAACTCACTGCTAATCCATCAAAATTCCCATATTTCTATCGATGTACGAATATGGACCCCCTTTTCTTCAGTCACCATGCTTTTCTGACATTCTATCTCCAAATGGATGATATCGGACCGTCTACCATCCTACTCGAGCACTGTTCTCGGCCTTCACAAAACATAATCTCGATAGATAGAGTTAGATATTTGAAAGCATACAATGATTAGAACTTTAATCAAGATATTGGAAGGATGAAATAAATTAACATCACGCACTTAGGGTTTCGATCTTATGCCCACACAATCCGTTATCCACACTGACGTCTTGAGACTTCCGAACATTCGATCGAAGCTCGCCAATACTAGCCGATCTTTATCAGACAGATTCAAGGATCTAAATCCACGGCGACGACTAAGAAGAGAAGAGAGTGGCGGAACCTGAGGGGCTTTCTCGACGATCTCCTGGACGTAATTCTCGCCGAAGCAGCGGTGGCCGGCGTCGTAGACCTGTCGTAGGAGGGATGCGGGCTTCGTCTTGCTGACGGCCACCACTCTGACCTGCTCCGGCGACCTGCCGGACCGCTCGGCTGCCTGATGGACCCGGGTGAGCACCGAGCGGAAGGCCGCCGCGGCCGAGCCTTCCACGGCTGGAGCCGACATGGCGTCCGGGCCGCCTGCGCACAGAGGATTCCCTACCTGCGCCGTAGCAGTGGGCGGTCCGGTGGCTCGCCTCCGAGGAACGAGACGACACGGCGCAGCGGTCACAGAGTCTATCCGCGCAGCGGCCACATCGGGATGCTTCCGGAACAGGTTTGGGTCACTTTCTAACCGAGTACCAAAAATATATATAATATTTGATGTAATTAATTTTTAAATTTCTTAAAAAAGAAAAATACTGACGAAAATAATTTCGATGATGTCTTTTAATGTGAGACGAATAACATTTTAGGTGATTTCTTTGTTTTCGTTAATAAATAGGAGTTGATGCTGTGAGCACTCAGAGAAAAAAAAATTTTCAATTCATGAAAATATAAAAATGATATGAAATATGCATCAGTTAGTCATCGTCTGTCATGCTAGCATCACGAAAGACTCGTGAGAGGAAAAAGGCCCAAACGATCTAACACTTGCTTGATCGTGTGAATAAGAGTCTATCGAGTCGATTGCTAAACTATCTTCCTTACAGAATATTCATAAAAATATTCTTAAAAGTCTAAAGGTAGAACAGGATGGTTATGGATTGACTCCCGTATGGAATATTCTCGGAAGTCGAAGGGGTAGTTCGGGTTAATTACAAACCGCCTCTCTTGCGAAGTCTTTATGGGATATTCCATCTCCTCAAGATCAGGTATAAAAACACACCCTTAACTCTAGGTAAGGAATATAGAAAACTTAAAGCCATGTAAGTGAACTTCAATACTAACTTAAGCATTGGAGGGATCAGCTTGGGAAACTTCTCTCTACTCCCATCTTTGTGTAGGTAATAACTCGGGAAAATATGCTTTCAACTTCGGATGACTTTGTGTGTACGAATCAGGGCGATATCGTACTAATAAAGATATTAATGATATTTTTTAATAACATTTTGGTGCGAAACCATCTACTCATCATTCTTGAATCTTACTCGGCAAATGTAAGCACCAACTGGGATAATGGAGATCGTTGCCCCGCTTCTACCTCGGCTAGCCCAAGAAGCAACGCTATCGCCTTAGCCACTTTCGACAACTCGACAACTACTAGCATCAACGTCTGTTGGGGTCCTCCACCCGATGAGTTGATAGCATATTAAGGGCATCCAAGACCCATCGAACCATTGACCAAGGAAGCGCCCCATTCCTTGACCATAGAGTTCAATAGACCACTCCACTACCACTCTACTATACTCAAATGTGGGACCCACTCAGTCGATTCAACGGACAACTCAATTAGGATCCGGCTATAGTAAATGGACTAGTGCTTAGAAGAGATGCGACGAGACTTTCATCAATCCAAGGGTGATGGGCAAGTTGACCTTACCTCTGGTCAATCACTATGTTTCCAAGATATCAAGGAGTCGATCCCAACAAACTTTCGTCTTTCGTCATTGGAAACTTTTGACGGTACTACTAACCCACTAGAGCACGTCGTCGCCTTCTGGACTCATATGTCACTATATGGCACTTTGGATGCTCTAATGTGTCATATTTTCCTGACCTCCTTAAGAGGCCCCACAAGAGATTAGTACACTCATCTAAACTCACTCTCTATTAGTTTTTTTGTTCAACTAACAAAAAAGTTCAAGCTTTACTTCATCAAGAATGTATGCCCAAGGTCGTCGATGATGATGCTTTTAATGATTACCCCGATGATCATAGTATTGGATATTACAAGAGCTACATGTATCATTCATAACCCTCTCCACTCGAGCATTGATCAACCTCATGGAGACTAAGACATCATTGTAGTTTGGGTTAAGGTACACTATCTCTCTCTCTTTAAATATAATTTTCAAGTCATCCCCCATCCGTGGGTGTTTTTCAAAGGTAGCTATGGTGTAAGTTTTATGACTCGATGAGCTATCTCCTCTCGAGGTAGATCTACCAATAATGACATCAATCTGCCTTTTCATCGGCCTCGAGGTTGGGGTGAATGTTCTTAGTGCCTATAGAGAAATTGCCTGAGGTGTCTCCGACGAATGAGTTCTTTAATATGTTATTTCAAGTCATAATAATCTTTCATGCCATAGGCAATCTCAGGGAAAGCAACAGTACTTGGATCCATGTCTTTTTGCCAATGAAATATTCAACGATTGAGGGTCTTTTAAGAGTCCCTTCTTTTTTATTTATAAAATAACTTTAGTTCTGGTCATATTTATGAGTGTTGACTTAGGCCTTGAGCGAGGCAACTCGAGTCAATCATTTCTCCTTCGTTGTGGTGACCTTGGGATTGGCAATGATTATAGTTGATCGTTTGCATGTCTCATCGCATTTACCTGAGATCATTATCTCAATAGTAATATATTGATTGGCATGTTGGAGTGCCTTAGGTATCGTTGCTTGTGGCCTCTCTACTAATGATTAGAAAAGACAAGAGGGCTTGAGCAACAAAGGTCTGTATTACAACTGATGGATGAACATCTTGCACACTTTATATCTCGTTGGTGAATCACGTGACGAAGTCTGAGAGCATCTCCTTCTTTCCTTACCTAAGTCTAAGAAGCATTTCTACCAATAATTCTGAGTGTATATTTCTGATGAAGTGAAGCTTGAATTCTCAAGTGAGTTGAATAAAGGAATTAATAGAGATGAGTATACTATTCTCATGTCGAGCCTCTTTGGAAGGCATGACACATCAAGGTATCCAAAGTACTATATAATAACATTTGGGTATGGAAAGCAATGATGTACTTTACGAGTCGATATTACCGTCAAAGGCCTCCAATGATAGGAGACAGAAGTTGGTCGAAATTGACTCCTCTTCGACGTCCTTGGTAAATGGCGACCGACCTGAGGTAGGGTTAGTCGACCCTTCTCCCTTGGATTATTAGAATTTTTATAGCATTTCTTCCAAGTACTAGTCTATTTATCATAGTTGGATCCTTAAGAAATAATTTGTTGAATCGACCAATTGGGTTTAGGATTCAAGTAGAACAGAGTGATAGTATGGCAGTTCGTTAAATTTCATAGTTGGGGAATGGAGATGCTTACTTGACCGACCGTTCAACGGGCCTCGAGCGCTCATGAGATATTGATATTATATTTGGTGAAGGAACCCCGATAGGCGCCAATGCCGGTGTCAATTGAGCTGCTGACCGCGATTGAGGTGGTGGCATTGCTTATTGAGTTAGTTAGGGCAAGAGAGGAGCAATAGCTTGCATCATATGCATTAGCATTTGCACCTGTTGTGTGAGGTTTATGAATGCTTTAATAGGGACGAGTATGTGACTCGGGGTTACCCCTGGGTCATTGAAAGGACACTAGTATCATTTCAGCATTCGCATCGAGGTGAATGCATCTACGTGTAGAAAGAGTGGCTACTACCCCCTTGAGTGAAAGTACTATAGATCGGGAGGAAGGCCTCCTCGCTAAAGCATTTATTGAGAGGGTTGGTAGATAGATGTTCCTATAATATTAGACCATGCTTTTAGTGCTAAAATATTAAGGAAAATATCGTTGATGCCTTGGTTAGCTCGATGTGGTTCAGACCCGTATGCATAGGGTTGTCTAAGGTATCTCCGAGGTGAAAACGATGAGCTCCTAATATGCCATCTGTATGAAGTTCAATGTTGAGAGATGTTTCTCGATCCGATCCCTTCGATGCTCAAATTAATAACACGATATGTCTGAATACAGGTGCGAGTAATTTCCGAACGTTCCTTTTCTGTGTTAAAAATGAGCTTTTATACCTTGTTATAAAAAGAAGAAAACTTATGATTATTTTTATGAAAAACTTATAATTATCTTTTTTTATCATAAATGATAATAATAAAATAGTGATAAATGATAATAAGAAAGTTTTATCTTCACCTCTTTCTATGATATGTTAGATGATTAATTGATAATGTATCCCTTATTATTGAGTATTAGTCTAAATTCTATGAAGATTTAGTATAAATATTTATGAGGGGGGTAGGAATCAAGACTAGTAATCTCAGTACTAGTCAAAATTTGACTCGGTATATTGATGTATCGAGTATAAATATATCGATACATACCTCTTAAAAAAAAACATATTGAGTGCATACCATGTGTCCTATTATAAAAAAGGTATAGACTCTGTGTCGAGATGGTACACGTTCTATACCGATAATATCGTTCGATTCTTTCTGATCCAAACCCCATAAATATTGCAATAGCAAACATGGGTCGGAATCATAGTATTGAATCAAACTCAATTGTCATGCATTCTAAATTAATGTTTAGGATAGTAATTTATGTCATATTTTTCAGAAATGAAGATACCATTATACGTCTATCTGCGACGCTGCTTCCTTTTATACATATAAGAGAGAGAACAAAAGACAAGGAAACGCTTCGAAAGAGAAATGTTGCCGGTATCATGCAAGCCTTGCCGTTCCGTTATCCACCTAATTCATGCGTCAGGTGCGCCCCCCCGGTGAGGTGGATCGTCCGTCTCTGACCCATGTCCCTTACCAGTACATCTACCCGTTTCCACTTTGGCAAGAGAGACGGGGCCCACCTGGGTGACCGACGCAGGGACGGGAAAGGCGAGAAATCTAGGAGAATGAAGTAGAAGCCCGCTTGATGTAGACCACGTGTTCGACCCAGACCGATCGTCGCCGTCCATCGGTCCCTGGGCCTTCTTACTTCTGGAAGCGTCGGTGTTCCGGAGATTGGCGTACATTGCTTCGAGGACGCGGGTACGTTTCATTTCATGTGGAGGTACCGCCCGATCACCGTCCCTTATATTCTCCCCACTTCTTCGTTTTGCCCTTGCCGTTACCGATCGTAACAAACTCGATTCCCTGTGAGAAGTGGAGTCAGAAGCATACGAGAACTATTCCTTCGTTCCTCGCTGCTCTCCCCAACGAAGAAGAAGGAAAGATTCCACTCCCTCTCTCTGTTCGAAGGAGAGACATGGGGGACGAGAGCACGAACATAGGAGAGGCGGAGGCCGGTGAGAGCGGCGGCGAGAGGGGGAGGAATAAGCAGCCGGTCGAGAGGGTCTCGTTCTACAAGCTGCTGTCCTTCGCGGATGCGTGGGACACCGTCCTCATGACGACAGGGACGATCGGCGCGATCGGCAGCGGATTGGCGATGCCGATCATGACCTTCATCTTCGCCGAGGTCATCAACATCTTCGGGGTCGCCGACCGCGAATCCATCGTCCGTGAGGTCTCCAAGGTGCGCCATAGCCTCCATCTTTGCGTTGATAGTATTCCGAGCTACGATGCAATCGAGTAACCCATTATTCTTTTGCGTCTGATCGTTCTTTCATGGACACTATCATGGAAAGAATACGATTTATCCATATGGTTTTGCGTGTGCTTTCATTTAGAACTAGGAGAGATTGAACTTCTACGATGATGATACATTTAAGTTATCTTTAGGTAGTCTTAATAAATATCTTCATTAGATGATCACGAATTTCATAAATCCATATTATTATGAAAGGATCCAAAATATCTTTGTAGGGTTTAACATCTCCTCCCACATGTCAAATTTAGGTGTATGATGCAAGTTTAAATGATCTGATACCATGATAAGGAATTAGATTGGCTGATCATAAATCCTAAAATCTTAAACTATTAAAAAATAAGGAATATATATTTATGACTCTTAACATTTCTCATGTCTTGAGAACGTATTCGAGATTCTATGACAAATATATGGAGAATAGATTTCGATTTTTTTATTTTTAATGCAACACTGTAACAGCTCTCTGAAGGCATTGATTTATTATGTTGTGACTTCTGTTTACTGTGCTTTTGTTGTAGACTATACTCTAATTTTGGAGTATTTTTGGTCAGGTGGTTCTTAAGTTCGTTTATTTGGCAGCTGGATCAGGAATTGCATCCTTCTTACGTAAGCGAATCCTCGCCTTTATGCCATTTGCATCACTGCATCAGCATGCATAGCTTCACCATACATAATGTTACTTAAAACGACGATAAAGCGCAAAACATTGTTAATTTGAACACCAAGTAGCTTAGTCCAGATAACTTCAACCAAGACCCATTATCTACACTCTTTTACAAATCATATGCTCATGACACTTATACATACACATACGTGTGTATATATATATATACTCAAACAATACATGCATTCATGTATGTATACGCAAAACATACAGCCATATATGCATATGTTTTAATGTATATGAATAGACACATACATATACACAATATGTGTGCTTCAATAAGTCTATTATAAAAAAAAAAAGAAATGATTTAGAGATGGTGTTAGTATGATCAGGAGAGTCTTGGCACAATTAAGTTTTCTCTATGTAATTATAACTTTTCTAAACACTCAATATTATAAACCCCTATGTAATTATGAGAAATATTAAATAATTCCATATGTGATGTGTTCGTTTAAAGTTCATGTACTCATATTCAATATAAATTTTCATACATTTTTTTAAAGAATATTTTATTTAATTAAAGGTAAAATGGTGAGAAGCGTCACTTCCCTAACTTGAAGTGAGCTATTTACTCTAGCAAAATTGGTAAGGGTATGTTTCATAATTTTTATATTTGTATTGATAAAGGGAAAGTTAATACATTAAGTTGTTGTGCCAAAAATAAAAAATCAGATACTCTTGATATTTGACTCGTTCCATTTAACCAATTGAGAACCTTCAACTTATCATATTTAAAGCCTTCCTCTTTTAGCTCTTTTGGAAACTTCTAACATAACATTATACTATACTTTTTATTGAGGGTTAATTATAGATTATCCTCTGTAATTAGTCATCTTTAGCATCTCGATTTTTATACTTTCAAAAATATATTTAGATTTTTTATTTATGAAAATAAAATATTTAACCCTATTGCTCCAATAAAAGCTCTCTTTTTTTATTTTTAACCCTGTATAGAAATTTCAATATTTCACTTTCATAAATATAAAGATCTCAATATAATTTTTAAAAATATAAATATTAAAATGTTAAAGATAACTAATTATAGGAAATAATATGTAATTAATCCATTTTTTATATTTATATTTTGAGAAGGTATACATCACACAATTATAAAGTGTCCATTTTTATCTTTGATGATGTATTCTTTGTCTGCATCCAAACAATCCTGAAAAAAAAATCATCATATTCAAGGATATGTTAAAAAAGACATTAGTTAATAGTGTTAAAAGTTCTATTCTTATATTCTGCTTGATTAGTACCTAATAGAGTTGAACAAAAATCATTTGTCATGACAGTCATTTTACCATAAAGAGTAAGGTCAACCAATAAGAATTACAAAATATGTGACCATTATGATTGAGACATAGAAACCAAAGAGAAATACTAATAGGACTCCTTTACCTTTTTTTTTGTTTGCACTTGTCTCTCAAATAATAAATACTCATGAGGCTAGAGGCTAATGGGAGAAGAGTTTGAAGTTGCAGTGCACCTGGTTGTTAATTAGTCATAATAATTATAAAAAATGCACATTCGAAGAAGATGCGAGGACAGTAGAGAAAAGTTTAGACAAAAATGTTCAATCGAAAGTGCATGATTCTATTAAAAAAAATAAAGGTTGGTAATCTATTCCTAAATAATTTTTATATAAATAATTTAACTTTACAAGAAACCCCTAGCCCCACATCACCTTCCATCCTAACTAACTTTTCTCGATGTGGTGAAGATTGTTTTACATGTAAAAGTAAGCACCGCTAGAGGACAATGAGCCTTTAGGAGCATAAGGCCATATCCAACTATCAGGTGTGACATGAAATTTGAATAAGTTTAAACTAACCAACAAGGGCTGAAAATGATCTTTAAGTAAGTTGCAATTTGAAAAAAAAGAAGAGGAAATAAGATCGTCTACAAAGGAAACATTAGCTATTTCATTCAGACTAATGTAAGTTGGCCACCAAACCAGAGAAAGATTATCAAACCAAGGGTTATCCCAAATTTTAGTGTTATTCCATTGCTAATTAGCTTACAAAAGCCTCTCATACGTCCCAAAGTGTTAAAGAAATATTTTTTTCGAGTCCAAGAGAGATTTCTTTTAAGAAAAATACCAGAGATTTAATTGATCATATTTGGGAATAAGAATGCGGGCCCAAAACAGTTTTTATTATTGAGAATAGGGAGAATTCTTTTAACATAAAGAGTTTTTTTTTTTCATAACAAAAATATCTTGGATACCAAGGTCACCAACATCTTTAGGGCTGGAAATGGTCTCCGAATTGATAAGGTGGATTTTATGATCATCCTCCTTATCATTCTAAAAGACACCATACGAAAGTTTTATAAGTCTATTATGGATCTTTTTATAATATCCTCCTTATCATGTCACAAAAAGTCACATGGATTTTTCACACATCATTTTATAATAATTTTTGTCAATACAATGTATAAGATAATTAATCTTATTTTTCAACAAAGTACTTGCTTGTATAATGCCAAAAAAGACCACTGGCTTGGTCACACGAATCTTGACAATATCTGCTACATTGATTTGAAGATGTCTGGATCAACTAACAAGTATGTTGTACCATTTACCTTTCAATTATAAATTTCTGAAACTATTGGTCGTGATTGACGCCTAATTTGTTGCTGAATATATCTAAAGAATGAGATAGTTTCTCCGCTATTTGATTAGGTCTATAATTAGCCTTTTTTACTGAATCAGGGCAATTGATGTATCATTTTGTGTGGACTAGAAGGATTGATGTCTTTTGATACATGATATTCATTCCAAATTTTTTCATAATACATCATGAAACAATTGTTCCCCCTACACCTAAAATTAGTGAACTTTTTTTTGTGACAGAGGTGGCTTGCTGGATGATAACCGGAGAAAGGCAGGCAACACGAATCCGTGGTTTGTACTTGAAAGCAATACTAAGACAGGAAATTGGATTCTTTGATAATGAAACATCTACTGGTGAAGTGATTGGTAGAATGTCCGGAGATACAATACTTATTCAAGATGCAATAGGTGAGAAGGTACGTATCGAATTTTTTCTTAATATGAAGCCCTAAAATCTCTATAACAAGGTGGTAATATCTCAACAATTTAGCCTCAAGCTATATGGATATTATACCATCATTGAGACTCAATGTAAAAAAAGTCGTACTTAATTAAGATCTTCTTATAACTCCTTTTAAAATGCATTTCGAATGTAAAGCTATCTTTTAATCTGCATGGACAAATTGTATATGAAACATGTTGTAGGTTATTTCTTACAGAGTCTTAAGAATTGATGCATTCATTATCTTGACATATGCAAGTCCCTTTCTAAAGATCAAGTTATATGTTGACATCTGCTGCAATCATTATCTTCCTAAGAATCACTTTATCTGTCTTTTTCAGGTTGGAAAATGTCTGCAATTAGCTGCAACCTTCTTCGGTAGTTTTGTCGTTGCATTTACCAAAGGTTGGCTTCTGTCACTTGTCCTGATAGCGAGTTTACCTCTCACCGTCATTGCCGGTGCCGCCATGTCATTGATAATATTCAGATCATCAACCCGCGGCCAAAAGGCATATGCTGAAGCCGGCATTGTTGTCGAACACACAGTCGGATCCATCAGAACAGTACGTAAAGATTCTCTGCTGCATTCCGCATTTAAGGTGAAGCTGTTTATAATCCTTGTTTGAATGAATCTCAGGTTGCAGCTTTCAATGGTGAGAAGCAAGCAATCGACGATTACAAGCAGCTCATCAAGAAAGCGTATGGAGCTGTTGTCCAAGAAGGGATCGCTGCTGGGGTGGGCATCGGTTGCGTTCTAATGTTCATTTTCTGCAACTACGGTCTGGCTGTATGGTACGGTGCCAAGCTCATCATCGAGAAAGGATACATAGGAGCAGATGTTTTCAATTGCATGGTAACTGTCACGACTGGTGCAATGTAAGTCACATCCCCGGCACCTGTTTGTTTTTGCAGGAAAAATAACTATGAATTAGGCTCATTTCTCTTGTCTTCTCTCGATTTATTTGCTTCACCAGGTCTTTAGGTCAGGCATCGCCATGTCTGACCGCGTTCTCGGCAGGCCAAGCTGCAGCGTACAAAATGTTCGAGACGATCAATCGAAAGCCCGAGATCGACGTCTACGACACGAGTGGGATCGTGCTGGAAGATATCAAGGGCGACGTTGAGTTAAAAGATGTACGATTCAGCTACCCAGCGAGGCCTGACCAGTTGATATTTAATAGCTTCTCCTTGTTCGTACCAAGTGGCACCACCATGGCTTTGGTTGGAGAGAGCGGCAGCGGGAAGTCAACTGTGATCAGCCTGGTGGAGAGGTTCTACGATCCCCAGGCCGGTCAAGTACTGATCGATGGCATTGATCTGAAGGAGCTGAGGCTGAAATGGGTGAGGGAACGGATTGGACTCGTCAGCCAAGAGCCTGTCTTGTTCACCACGACTATTAGAGAGAACATCGCCTACGGAAAGGAAGGTGCAACAGCTGAAGAGATCCAGAGAGCAGCTAAGCTCGCTAATGCTGCAAAGTTCATCGACAAGATGCCAAACGTAAGCCGCAGAACACCTACCCACCAACATGTGACCACATGCTCATCTTCTTAGTTCATTCCCGTCTCCTGCAGGGGCTTGACACCATGGTCGGCGAGCATGGCACGCAACTCTCGGGTGGGCAGAAGCAGAGGATAGCGATCGCAAGAGTCATTCTGAAGAACCCTAAGATCTTACTTCTTGATGAAGCAACAAGCGCGTTGGACGCTGAGTCGGAGCGGATAGTGCAGGAGGCGTTGGAGACGGTCATGACGAATAGAACCACTATCGTCGTCGCCCATCGCCTGAGCACCATCAAGAATGCCGATACGATCTCGGTCGTGTCTCGTGGAGAACTCGTAGAACAAGGTACGTGGAAACAGAAACCTCTCGGAAATCTGTAGCTTCACAGATCTGGATAACTGCAACATCGACACGTGCAGGTTCACATGCTGAGTTGATCAAGGATCCTTATGGCTCCTACTCCCAGTTAATACGGCTGCAAGAGTTCCATGAGCAAGAGGAAGAATCAATGATTCCAGAGTCTGATGCCATGGATTTGAGTTATATAAGACGGTCCGGGAGCAGTAATTTGTCCTCCAGGAGATCCGTCGGCAGACGTTCATCATCACTCGGACGTAGCCGCAGAAACTCCATGCAGGGTTCCCGCCCAGAAGGAGACAGACTCGACGAAGAGGGTGCCGACGAGGACGAGATGGACAAAAAAGCTTCTGTTAGAAGACTGGCTTATCTGAACAAGCCCGAGACGCTTGTGCTTGTGTTGGGATCCATAGTAGCTGCCATAAATGGCGTCATTTTCCCAGTGTTCGGGATTGTTATTTCAAGCGTGCTCAAGACATTCTACGAACCCCCAGATGAACTCCGCAAGGACTCCAAGTTTTGGGCAGTGATGTTTGTTCTTCTCGGAGTGGTCACTTTCCTTGTGTTGCCGGCGCAGCACTACCTCTTTGGAGTGGCTGGTGGGAAGCTGATCGAACGAGTACGTTTCTTGTCGTTCGAAAGGCTGGTGCACCAAGAGATCGGCTGGTTTGACAAGCCTTCCAATACCAGGTTTGACTTAGCCATGCTTTGAGTGTCGGTAGTACGTCACTCGATTCCAATACCCACAAACATTTCACTCATGTGCTTCTCTTTGCAGCGGGCAAATCGGCGCGAGGTTGTCAGCAGATGCTTCGACCGTGCGAAAGCTTGTCGGAGATTCCTTGTCCCTTGTAGTCCAGAACATCGCAACATGTATCGCAGGGCTTGCGATAGCACTGTTAGCAAACTGGAAGTTGGGGCTCATAGTCCTCGTCCTGCTACCTTTGTTAAGTTTGCAGGAATATGCTCAGATAAAGTTTCTTCGTGGATTCAGTGAAGATGCAAAGGTGATGTCCAGCACCCCGCTTCTCTCTCTCTCTCTCTCTCTCTCTCTCTCTCTCTTCATGAATTCTTTAGCAAACTGTGTGCTGCAGAAAATGTACGAAGAAGCAAGTCAAGTGGCAAGCGATGCGGTCGCCAGCATCCGTACCGTGGCTTCGTTCTGTGGAGAGCAGAATGTCATGGATGCTTACCTTAGGAAATGCGAAGCTCCCATGAAAAATGGAGAGAGGCAAGGGATCATAAGCGGCTTGGGCTACAGTTTCTCGTTCATTGCTCTGTACTGCACGTATGCTTTGTGCTTCTACATAGGAGCTCGGTTTGTGCACGACGCCCAGGCAAACTTCGCCCAGGTGTTCAGGGTAAGTGGTGAATCTTTCTTTCTTCATATCGTGTATTCCTTTTCTTCTTCTTCTTCTTCTTCTTTTCTCATTCTTTCTTTCCAATGGCAGGTGTTCTTTGCGCTAACCTTGGCAGCCCTTGGAGTTTCGCAATCAAGCACAGCTGCTAGCGATATCAACAACGCCCGGGATAGTGCTCGTTCTATCTTTGCCATTTTGGACCGGCAGTCGAAGATCGATTCGAGCACCGACGAGGGCGAGGTGTTGCAGAACGTGAGAGGAGACATCAAGTTCCACCATGTCAGCTTCAGATATCCATCCCGTCCTCACGTGCAAATCTTTAGAGACTTGTGCTTGAGTATGCCCGCCGGAAAGGTAGAATCCATCAGCTTTACTGTAGCGGTCACCTTCTTCTTCTTGTTGTTGTTATTCTTCTTGGTATTCTGCAGACTGTGGCGCTCGTCGGAGAGAGCGGCAGCGGGAAATCCACGGTCATTGCGCTCCTGGAGAGGTTCTACGATCCTGAAGCGGGCACAATCTCTTTGGATGGGATGGACATTGCGAAGCTGAAGGTGAGCTGGGTGAGGCAACAGATGGGCTTGGTGAGCCAGGAGCCGGTGCTGTTCAACGGCACTATACGAACCAACATAGAGTACGGGAAGCAAGGACCAGTGTCGGAAGAGGAGCTGGTGGCGGCAGCGGAGGCCGCCGGCGCGCACAGGTTCATCTCGGGCTTACCGCAGGGATACGATACGAACGTGGGCGAGCGAGGGGTGCAGCTGTCGGGCGGGCAGAAGCAGCGGATCGCCATCGCCAGGGCGGTCCTTAAGGACCCGAGGGTGCTGCTGCTGGATGAGGCGACGAGCGCGCTGGACGCCGAGTCGGAGCGCGTGGTGCAGGAGGCGTTGGACCGCGTCATGGTCGGGAGGACCGCCGTGATAGTCGCTCATCGGTTGTCGACCATCAGAGGAGCTGAGACGATCGCCGTGGTGAAGAACGGCGTCGTGGCCGAGAGAGGGCGACACGATACGTTGATGGGGATCCAGAACGGCATCTACGCTTCTCTTGTTGCACTGCAAACTAGTTCCACGTGAGGAGTAGGAGGAGAATGCTGTGGTGGTTACGATTGCGCGACAAAGTCATCTCAATTGGTAGGTTGGATCCAATGGATATGCAAATACTTTTTTTATTGTATTGCACTTTGTTTCGCCTCCATCCCAAGAAAATGACTCCAATTAAAGATTTTATTGTATTAGCATAAAAAAAAAATTCACTGAAAACATGCAGAAGACAAATACCAGTTAAAAAAATAAGAATGGAATTTGTTCCATTAAAGCTTTTCTTTTTATATGCTCTTGCATTTAGAAGACCATGATATGATTAGTCTATCTTGTTATTCATCCTAAGGGAGCATATGCCCGATACTGTCCATACAGTAGAAACCGTCAACAGCACAATACCACCGTACAAGTATAAGAGGGTGAGCTTGTTGAAAATAAATGATACGCAGTATACATATATATATATATATACACAAACAAAACTATTGCTAACATTCAAAACCAAGAGTTAACCAAAGCAAACTATCAGTTTCTATTGCTACTGCTGGTGTAAACAACTTTATGCCGTAGCCTCGGGGCCGACGCGACTTGTTTCGGGGCCGAATGATGGGGATCTTTGCTCGAGGTCTTTCGGGGTTGCTGAAGTGGCCAACCGCGCGAACCAGATCATGTCGGAGTTCGTCGGGATGTCCCATGGGGAAGGTCGTTAATGGGCATCGGTCTGCGTTCTGGTTCGTTTGACCAGGTTCCGTCGTTTGAGGTGCAAGGTGTCGTCCAAGACAATTGACATCGGCGCGGGTCTTGTCACCATTTATTATCCTCACCATATTCCCCCGCCCCCCAAGGAAGCCATGCCGCAAAAAGGGGGGGGGGTCCGAGGCATGGCTTCGGCTTTGAGAAACTGTCCTAGCCGGGCGTCTTGCCGATCCGTTGCCAGGGGTGTGGGAATCGTGGAGTTTAACAACTGAGAAGGGTTGGATGTGCAGCGGTGACCCCAGGTAGTGTGCGGCCGAGGAGCACACTCAGTAGAGCAGGCCGAGCGGAGGCTATGGTCTCGGGGTGCATGGAGCCGAGGAGCACGACGCAGGTGGGCGGGCCGCGCAGGTGTGGTCTCGGAGAGTGTGGAGCCGAGGAGCACGACGTAGGCGGGCGGGCCGCGCATGTGTGGTCTCAGGAAGCACAGAGTCGAGGAGCACGACGCAGGCAGGTGGGCCGTGCAGGTGTGGTCTCGGGAAGCACAGAGCCGAAGAGCATGACGCAGGCAGGCGAGCCGCGCAGGTGTGGTCTCGGGAGACACAGAGCCGAGGAGCACGACGCAGGCGGGCGGGCCGCGCAAGTGTGGTCTCG